TCAATTCTTAATCAGGAAATTTTAGCAGTTGGCTCGCAATGCACTCAATTAGAAGATTTTTTCCAAAGCGCTCCCAGTTTTTCGCTTGTATTTAGAGCATCGGTTGAGCCATAGAGCTGGCTTTGTCACTGCTGGATAGAGCATTGAAACGCGCATTTTTTCCACATCAATTCTTAATTAGAAAATTTTCCCAGTTGACTCGCAATGTTCTTAATCAGAAGATTTTTCCAAAAGCGCTCCCAGTTTTTCGCTTGTATTTAGAGCACCGGTTGAGCCATAGAGATCGTTTTACCGCTGCTGGAGAGAGCATGAAAACGTGCATTTTTCCCCATCAATTCTTAATCAGGAAATTTTAGCAGTTGGCTCGCAATGTGCTTAATTAGAAGATTTTTTTCCAAAGCGCTCCCAGTATTTCGCTCGTATTTAGAGCATCGGTTGAGCCATAGAGCTCGCTTTGTCACTGCTGGATAGAGCATTGAAACGCGCATTTTTTTCACATCAATTCTTAATTAGAAAATTTTCCCAGTTGACACGCAATGTTCTTAATTAGAAGATTTTTCAAAAGCGCTTCCAGTTTTTGGCTCGTATTTAGAGCACCGGTTGAGCCATAGAGCTCGTTTTATCGCCGTTGGATAGAGCATGGAAACGTGCATTTTTCCCCATCAACTATTAATTAGAAAAGTTTCCCAGTTAGCTCGCAATGGCCTTAATTAGAAGATTTTTTCAAAAGCGCTCCCAGTATTTCGCTCGTATTTAGAGCATCAGTTGAGCCATAGAGCTCGTTTTCTTGCTGCTGGATAGAGCGTTGAAACGTGTATTTCTCGACATCAATTCTTAATTAGAAAATTTTCAAAATAATTTTCTTGGAAACTCTGTAGTCGTTTCACGCGCATCAATTTTGCAGCCTATTTTTCAAAAATTAATTTCTCCGAAACTGGGCTCGTTAGAAACTTGCTCTTTACACTTATTTATAGAGAAAATCTTGCTTCATAATCTCTGAAAGTTTAACCGCGACCAGTAAT